CACTTAGTTAATACTGAGTTCACATCACTGACAAACTTTAAGAAGGTCCAGGGGCAAGCTGATGAGAAATAGAAGAGTTTGTTGCTCCAGTGGGAGCCAGTTTTGGAGAATCTGGTAGTTTTCCAGAGGAAGGCTCAGAAGAAAGGAATCTTATATCCTGGGAAAGCCAAATTCAACCTCTGGAGCAGGTGCAGGATGAGGAAATTAGGGAGGATGACCTTTGCCTTACTCATGAGAGTCTTCTCTTAGGCAATATGAAGCTGATGGTACGGATATAAATGATCTATTTAAAGATTTGTGAATGATAATTCATGAGCAAGGACATGTGATAGATAGCATAGAAGCCAAAGTTGAAAGTGTAAGAGTGCATGTCCAACAAGCCAAACAGCAGCCTTCATGGGCAGCAGAATATCAGAAAAAGGATTCTTGCATGTTGCTGTGCGATGCACAAGCCATTAAAGAAATATAGAAACCTACAGCTGGCTAGCAATGAAGAATGGAACAAAACTCTTAACCTTTATATTTTAAGTGACTATATTATAATTATTTTGATTTCAGTTTTATTTTGTATGTTGTGAATATAGATGCAGTTTCTGGTAATATTAAACAATGAGAATAAGTTTTGAGCAACTTTTAAAAAGACTTGTCAGTTACAGTTGATATCCAATATTGTTTTGGTTTCAGGTGTACAGCATGGTGATTGCGCACGTGTATACCTTTTGAGGTGAACACCCCAATGGGTCTGGTACCCACCTGACACCATGCATGGTTATTAGAATATTGTTGACTATATTCTCTATCTATGCTGTACTTTGCATCACCATGATTTTATTTACAACTGAATTTAAAGAACACCTTTTGGTTAAAAGTTTCAAAGTGTATAACATTTTTTTTGTCACATGAAAAAATATTTAATTTGTTCCCTATCCCACACCATATATAAAATCCAATTGCAGATGAATTAAAAATTAAAATGCAAGAAACACAATTTCCAGATAGAAAGTTTTAGAAAAAATACAAATATATTTAGTAAAATATTTTTAATATAAACTCATGAGTCATAAAGAAACATTAAAAAATTTGACTGTGTTAAATTTTTAAATATCTATTCCTGAAAGTATCAGGAAGGAAGTAAAAAGGAAATATCACAAACTTGAAAAAGATATTTGCAATAAACAGAATAAATAAAAAGAACAGAACACAGAATGTGTTTTAAAAACACCAACAGTACCCTAGTCGGTTTGGCTCAATGGATAGAGCATCAGCCTGCAGAATCAAGGATTCCAGGTTCAATTCCGGTCAAGGGCATGTACCTTGGTTGCAGGCACATACCCAGTAGAAAGTGTGCAGGAGGCAGCTGATGGATGTTTCTAACTCTTTATCCCTCTCTATTCCTCTCTATAAAAAATCAATAAACTATATTTAAAAAAAAACAAAACAACCAACAGTCAATAAGGAAAAGACAAATGACTCAAATAATAATAAAAAGTCATAATCAGGTGCTTCATGGATAGGAATTGGAAATCCTATCTAATAAAGAGGGAATATGCTAATTGACGATCACACCCACACAAATGGAGGTATCCACAGCCAAGAAAGAGGGGATATGCTAATTGACCTCCATGCCCTCACAAGATATTGGCACCAAGTACCCTCAGCCCCACCTAATCCAGTCAGAGTCCCCCAGTTCCCCAGCCCTGTGCGCCTCATCCAGCCTCAGACCTCAAGTCCCCTCAGCCCTGTATAGGGGAGGGCAGTTGGGGACAATCATGTCAGGGGAGCAGTTAGACATGAATCAGGCCAGAAGGTTAGTATTTAGGGGCAATCAGGCAAGCAGGCAGGTGAGTGGTTAGGAGCTGGATTGTGAGAGGGATGTCCCAGAATTTCATGCACCAGGCCTCTAGTTCTTAATATAAAAATGTATAAACTTTTATGCTGTTCTTCATTTCCATACAGAGGTAACCATTTTGTACCATTAAAAAATGAATTACATTTTCCAATTAACTCACTTGCCTTTTTAATCAATATTGGTTTAATCCACTAATCTGAATACTCTGAAGATAATTATCTTAATTCATAATTTGCATTTTATCACATTCTTACATAGCACTTTGAAACTGAAGGCAATGTTTTATATGGCAAGCTATGAGACTTCAAATGGGAACAAATATAATATTGAGTAACTAAGTAAATTGTCATTTGCAACCGAAATAATGATGATTTTAAAAATAAAAAAACAAATAAATTTAATTCTAATTTATAGTCTTTTAATTTGCAATATATTGTTACACAATGGACACATTAGGAAAATGTATTAGCACAATTAAGTGAAGAGGATAAATGGACATAAATACCAATTTCACAGGTCTGAAAGTTGATTGAAAACTAATAATAATTTATAATTATTAATTATTGGGAAAGCTGCTAGAGATTCAGCTTAAAATAGAGCAAATTTGTGGTCTTCTTATCTAAGGCTGTTCCCATGTCTCCCCTACCACCCAAACTCAGCTCAGTGAGTAAGAATTATAATTTTTATAATTTTGGGAAGGCCACAAATATCAATGGTATTATTGCCACAGGGGAAGACTTGATAAGCAGTGGAAGCGGTTGTCAAGTTGCCCACTGCTAGTATTTTTCAGCTGAAAGTGTTGAATTTACTGGGTAATAAATGAGGGAAATTATCCTTTTCCTAGACTGAGGCTGTCTTCTCCATTGTGTCAGGCACAGTGCCAGCCATAAACATAACAGGAAGGTACTACTAGGAAAAGTAAGAGTGAATAGAAGAGATCACATTCGCTCTCTGCATGTGCTTGACTGACGGGTGGAAAATTTGCACATGTATAGAAGAAACAGAGATGATATAGTAAAAAATAAAAGCCAAAGTGGACTTGAGAATTGATTTCACAATCATGAGCACTTTTCTACACACACACACACACACACACACACACACACACACACGAGTACATCAAATAGCAGAGGGTGAAAGCCATACTGATTTGAATACATTTTTAAAAATCATTGGTTGTCTGCTAAGCTATGCAAACACAAGACTAATCTCTGGTAAGTAAGGCTAAACAGAAAAATAAATAATGAGAATTATAAAAACTGAGTAAACACACTTCAAAAGAGAAGATTCTACACTAACAGTTTATTAAAGTTACAAAGAAATCTAAGAAAGATGCAGAATCCATATTTAGTATATTATATTATCAAAAATATGTACTTACCAAAAATTAGAAAACATGCAAAGAAACTAAAAAATGTCTTTTATACTTGATGGGGGGATTAGTCAATAGAGACTAATTTTCACTGGGATAAGATGTCAGATTTATCAGAAAATATTTTAAAGTAGTTATTATAAACATATATTAGAAAGATACTATGTTTAAATAACTATATGAAAATATGATGGCAGCCCTGGCCTGTGTGGCTCAGTTGGTTGTAGCATCATCCCATGTACTAGAAGGTTGTGGGTTCAATGCCCAGTCAGGGCAAATACTTCGGTTGTGGGTTTGAACCCCAGTTGGGGCACATATAGGAGGCAACTAATGGATGTATCTCTCATATAATATAGCAGATTGTCTTCACAAACTTTGACTAACTTCTAAAATAATCACTAAGACCCAAAATGAGATATTGGACTAGGTTAACATTAATAAATTCAGATCATTTAAAGACCCCAATGTGAGACTGAAAATGTAAGTTACGGTAAAAAAAACACAAAAACTATTTGCAATGATAAATTTAAAAAAGAGCTCATATAGGAAATATAACAATTCTAGAAGGAAAATAACAGGCAGAACACAGGAGAAGTGGTAGAGAGACATGAACAGGCACCTCTCATTCTCTCGATACATAATTCCATAAGAACTAGTGACCAGAAAGAAGTGTTCTATCCATTAGCAATCAGAAAAATGCCTACTTATGTCAAAATGATACTTTTATATAATGATCAGAATGTATAGCATTGAACGTTCTGGCAGTACTAAATCTTGGATCATGGAATATTTGGATAAAATGTGTATTTATATAATAAACTAGAAAATGTTGGGATAATATAATAAATTTGGCATATACATATATTTATGACTGTGTTATTTCATTCTGATTCATAGAGGACAATAAATTTTAACTATCTACATATGCAATTATAATCATATAATTATACTAGAGGCCCAATGCATGAAATTTTCCAAGGGGTTCATCCCTCACAGCCATGGCAGCTGCCTCAGCCCTTGCAGCCCCATCTTCGTCCAGAAGGTCGTCCAGAAGGTCATTTGGCTGTCCAGTCTAATTAGCATATTATGCTTCTATTATTATAGATTTATACATTATTATATTATTATAAATATAATATTTATAGTATATGAGTATAATGTATTATATTTAATATTTATATATACTATAAATTGTTTTAAATACAATATAATATTTGAAAAAATCAGACACAATGATTTTCATAAAATATTCATAATACCCACATATTTAAAAAAAAACTATATTCTGGGAAGAACAGATTAAAAATGTCATTTCTCTACACTAAAGCAATGAAAGTTAACAAATTACAGATAAATGCAATAATATGGAGAGATTGCAAAAATATCATGTGAGTGTTAAAGGAGACACACAGAGAGGGGCTACTGTGGACTGGCAACTTCTATTTCATGATTTGTAATTATATGGGTCATTTAAGCTTGTAATTAATCTGCACAATTATGATACCTTCAATTTCCTTGATGTATAGTAAAATTAGGTAGCAAAGTTTACTTTAGAAAAAAAGCATTTACAGAAGCATGGTTATGTATTTAAAAAAGCAAGAACTGGAAATTATCAAATGTGCATCAATGGCATAAAATATAAAAATATATTAGAGTGAAACAATGCATGTTAATAGTCCTTATAATAAGTGAACTATGAATATATACAAAATATGAATCAATTCTATAAATATAGATTAAACTAGACTTTTAAATAAAATGGAAACATTTAAATCTTACCATTTCTTCTTCTTTATCTATGTAAAGCAGGTTAGAGTTCTTAGAAGCACAAGCCAGCAAACTCTCATTCCATGTTTTTTTTTCAGTACTAATGTAATAGCAATTGTTGGAATATGTAAACCACTCCTTTGGACAATGTCCACAATAATATGCTGAAGAAAGATTATAAAATTTTATCAAAAACAATTTAAATTTTTTGAAATGAAATTAATTTACATATTTGCATAGGTATAGACACATTTGTGGAATATATATAAAAGAAAACACGCTCACAGAGAACAGTTAGTCTCTTGTTTCCTGGTTTACATTCCATATTAAGCAAACAAAAATATCTACTCTCTACATGTTCTGAATGTCAATGAAGAAATCCATTTTTTAGAATCCTAAAATTATCTTTGAGCCCATCTGCAACCATGGGTATTATGATCTTAAATGAATATTTCTTCATATTGTTGCATAAGAAAACACTCTTCCATAATCATTATGAACATTTATTGCCTGGTATTATTTGTAAATATTTATTGCTCATTTCATAATTTATGTTCTCCCCCTCAAAAAGGCT